GGAGCTAGTCCCATTCCTTCTGAAACTATTCCAATCAATAGAAAAAGAGGGAATCCTCCCTAACTCATTTATGAGGCCAGCATCATCCTGATACCAAAACCTGGCAGAGACACAATAAAAAAAAGAAAATTTCAGACCAATATCCCTGATGAACATTGATGTGAAAATCCTCAATAAAATACTGGCAAACCAAATCCAGCAGCACATCAAAAAGCTTATCTATCACAATCAAGTCAGCTTCATAGCTTCATACCTGGGATGCAAGGTTGGTTCAATATATGCAAAACAATAAATGGAACATATCTCAAAATAATAAGAGCTATTTATGGCAAACCCACAGCCAATATCATACTGAATGGACAAGAGCTGGAAACATTCCCTTTGAAAACCGGCACAAGACAAGGATGCCCTCTCTCACCACTCCTATTCAACACAGTATTGGAAGTTCTGGCCGGTGCAATCAGGCAAGAGAAAGAAATAAAGGGTATTCAAATAGGAAGAGAGGAAGTCAAATTGTTTCTGTTTGCAGGGACATGATTGTATATTTAGAAAACCCCATCATCTCAGCCCAAAATCTCCTTAAGTTGATAAGCAACTTCAGCAAAGTCTCAGGATACAAAATCAATGTGCAAAAATCACAGGCATTCTTATACACCAATAACAGACAAACAGGGAGCCAAATCATGAGTGAACTCCCATTCACAATTGCTTCAAAGAGAATAAAACACATAGGAATCCAACTTACAAGGGATGTGAAGGATCTCTTCAAGGAGAACTACAAACCACTACTCAATGAAATAAAGGAGTACACAAACAAATGGAAGAACATTCCATGCTCATGGATAGGAAGAATCAATATTGTGAAAATGGCCATACTGCCTACAGTAATTTATCGATTCAATGCCATCCCCATCAAGCTACCAATGACTTTCTTCACAGAATTGGAAAAAACTACTTTAAAGTCCACATGGAACCAAAAAAGAGCCCACATTGCCAAGACAATCCTAAGCCAAAAGAACAAAGCTGGATCTGTCTCTTATACACATCTAGATGTGTATAAGAGACAGCATATACACCATGGAATACTATGCAGCCACAAAAAAGGATGAGTTCATGTCCTTTGCAGGGACATGGATGAAGCTGGAAACCATCATTCTCAGCAAGCTATCACAAGAACAGAAAACCAAGCACCACATGTTCTCATTCATAAATGGGAGCTGAACAATGAGAACACGTGGACATAGAGAGGGGAACATCACACACCGGGGCCTGTTGGGGGGTGGGGGTTTAGGGGAAGGATAACATTAGGAGAAATACCTAATGTAGGTGACGAGTTGATGGGTGCAGCAAACCACCATGGCACACGTATACCTATGTAACAAAACACATTCTGCACATGTACCCCAGAACTTAAAGTATAATTTAAAAAAAAAATTAAAAAAAGAACAAAACTGGAGGAGTCACATTACCTGACTTCAAATTATACTACAGGGCTATAATAACCAAAACAGCATGGTCCTGGCATAAAAACAAACACATAGACCAATGGAACAGAACAGAGAACCTAGAACCAAATCCACACACCTACAGTAAACTCATTCTCAACAAAAGTGGCAAGAACATACACTGGGCAAAGGACAGTCTCTTCAATAAATGATGCTGGGAAAACTGGATATCCATATGCAAAGAATGAAACTAGACCCCCATCACTCACTATATACAAAAATCAAATCAAAATGGATTTAACACTTAAATCTAAGACCTCAAACTCTGAAACTACAAAAAGAAAATATTGGAGAAACTCTCTGAGATATCAGTCTGGGCAAACATTTCTTGAGTAATAACCCACAAGCACAGGCAACTAAAGCAAAAATGGACTAGATGGGGTCACATCAAGTTAAAAAGCTTCTGCACAGCAAATGAAACAATAAAGTGAAGAGATAGCCCACAGAATGGGAAAAAATATTTGCAAATTACCCATCTGACAACAGATTAATACTCAGAATATATAAGGAGCTCAAACAACTCTATAGGAAAAAAATTTAATAATCTGATTTAAAAATGGGCAAAAGATTGAAATAGACATTTCTCAAAAGAACACAAACAGATGGCAAACAGACATATGAAAAGATGCTCTACATCATTGATTAGAGAAATGCAAATCAAAACTACAATGAGATATCATCCTACCCCAGTTGAAATGGCTTATATCCAAAAGACAGGCAATGACAGATGCTAGCAAGGATGTAGAGAAAAGGAAATCCTCGTACACTGTTGGTGGGAATGTAAATTACTACAGCCACTATGAAGAGCAGTTTGGAGATTCCACAGAAAACTAAAAGTAGAGCCTACCATATGGTCCAGCAATCCCACTGCTGGGTATATACCCCCTAAAAAAGGAAATCAGTATATCAAAGAGGTATCTGGACTCCCATATTTGTTGCAGCTCTATTCACAATAGCCAAGATTTGGAAGCAACCTAAATGTCCCTCAACAGATGCATGGATGAAGAAAATGTGGTACTTATACACACTGGAGTACTATTCAGTCATAAGAATGAGATTCAGTCATTTGCAACAACATGGATTGAACTGGAGGTCATTATGTTAAGTGAAATAAGCCAGGCACAGAAAGACAAACATCTCATGTTCTCACTTATTTGTGGGATCTAAAAGTCAACAGTTAAACCCATGGAATTACAGAGTAGAAGCTTGGTCACCAGAGGCTGGGAAGGATAGTAGGAGGTCGGGGGGAGATAGGCATGGTTAACGGGCACAAAAAATAGTTGGAATAAATGAATAAGGCCTAGTATTTGATAGCATGACAGGGTGACTATAGTCAATAACAATTTAACTGTACATTCAAAAATAACTAAAATTGTGTAATTGGATTGTTTGCGACACAAAGGATAAATGCTTGAGGGGGTGGACACCCCATTTTCCATGATGTGATTATTACACGTCACACGCCCATATCAAAACATCTTATGTGCCCCATAAATACATACACCTACTATGTACCCACAAAAATAAAAAAAGTTAAAAGGACATCCTAATTTTAAAATGGGCAAAGGATTTGAATAGACATTTCTCCAAAGAAGATATACAAATGGTCAGTCAGCACATGAAAAGACATCATTAGTCACAGAAATGCAACATAGGCCAGGCGCAGTGGCTCACACCTGTAATCCCAGCATTTTGGGAGGCCGAGGAGGGCGGATCACAAAGTCAGGAGATCGAGACCATCCTGGCTAACACAGTGAAACCCTGTCTCTACTAAAAATACAAAAAAATTAGCCAGGCGTGGTGGCGGGCGCCTGTAGTCCCAGCTACTCAGGAGGCTGAGGGGTGCCTGTAGTCCCAGCTACTCGGGAGGCTGAGGGGTGCCTGTAGTCCCAGCTACTTGGGAGGCTGAGGCAGGAGAATCGCTTGAACCCGGGAGGCAGAGCTTGCAGTGAGCCGAGATCGCGCCACTGCACTCCAGCCTGTGCGACAGAGTGAGACTCTGTCTCAAAAAAAAAGAAATGCAAAACAAAACCACAACACAATACCACTTCTCACCTGCTAGAATGACAAGGGAGACAAGAACAAGTTGGCAAGGATATAGAGAAACTGGAATCCTCATACATTGCTAGTGGGAACGTAAAATGGTTTTCCAAACTGCTTTGGAAAACAGTTTGACAGTTTCTCAAAGAGTTAAACAGAGTTAACATAAGACCCAGGAATTCCACTCCTAGTTATATACCCAAGAGAAATGAAAACATATGTCCACACAAAAACTAATACATGGGTATTCATAACAATATTATTAGTTAACTAAAAAGTAGAAACAACCCAAATCTTCACCAACCAATGAATGGATAAACAAATGGTTGCATATCCACACAGGGGAATATGATTTGACCGTGAAAAGAAATGAAGTACTGATTCATGCTACTCATGGATGAACTTTGAAAATACTATGCTAAGTGAAAGAAGCCAGACACAAAAGATTACATATTCCATTTATATGAAAGGTCCAGAATAGACAAGCTCATGGAGACAGGGAAGTAGATAGTGGTGACAGCTGCAGTACCTGTGAATATGCTAAAAACCACTGAACTGGGTGCTACAGTATGTGAATTAGATCTCATTTTTTTGAAAAGGAAGTATTTAAGTTCAACCCAAAAGTTTTCCCGGAAGCTTGAGGAAAAGAAAAAAGTTAAAAAAATGCAATTTAGTTTCCCAATTCCCTAAAAAACTGATCAAATATAGTAGTTAGCTTTTGAAGATACAAGTAAGATTATGAGTAGTTATGTTTTGGATTTATGTCCTTTGGGAATATAGGGATTTGAGTTTTAAAATAACTTTATTCTGATTATGAAAGTAATGCCCAGATATTTTAGAGGAGGTTTTAAAGACAGAAAAGCATAGATAAGAAAATAATGAGCTTTCTTATTTTTATGCCTCTCTCCAGCCCCCACAAAGGCAAGTGGGAGAAGGGGTCAGTGGCTTCTATGTGCAAAGCCTACCCGTCAAACGCTTCGCACCTGAGGTTGGCTGGACATTCCATCAAGACCAGCACCATCAATCTTCCTCCACACACAGATCTTAGAAAAGCACCATCATTTTCAAGTCTTCCAGCTATCTCAACTTTCCCTCGTATTTAAGTCCTGGATTGTAAGAACAACTGGTATTTCCCTTAATTCAGAGAAAGAGTCCATGCCACCTGCAATGGTGCCAAGATATGAGAAGGAGGGCAGAGACAGAATAGAAACCTAACTTCCAACGAAATCACAATCCTCAAATTAAAATTTCCCAGCAGCCGTCTGCCAGCATTTCCTTCCAGAGCACTGAATGAGCTAAAGGAACACTTTAAATTTACTGTCCTCTTGTCTAGTGCAATCAGAGAGCACCCAGGGGCCTTGCGAAGGAATCAAGAAGCATGTTACTCCCACTAGAATATTATTTGAATGGAAATATATTTTAAAAAATAAAGAAGAAGAAAAGGAAGCAGACTCTAGTTCAAATTTTATTTGTATACAAAAATATATTATAATGGGAAAGCTTACTGCTATTTCCAACTATATATAATTAATTACAAATATTTTCATAAAAGCACTTTAAATTACAGGAAAGCTATGTTTTAAGAGAAAATACAATATTAGCATGGATCGTCTGTTCTAATACGCTGCAGGCAGGTAAACAAAGTCAGTTTCACTGTCTAAATTGCCCAGAGATGGGATCAAGGGCTGATTTTAAGGTGAGCCTGAGAGTGGCCTGGTGGAGGGTTGAGTGCACGTCTTCGTCCCCTCTGGCAGCAGATTCTAGTAGCTGATTTTAGCAGGTCCTCCGAGCTTTCTGAAGCTTCTCCCTTATGATGAAAGGACCCAGAACTTCTTGTTTCACATACCTGTAAATGAGAGACAGGTAAGGTTATCCACTCAGAGGCTTACAATTCCTATGCTTAACCACATCACACTGTCTCAGACAAGCATAAAAGAACCAAACTCAATGCCAGGCTTCCCACATGATGAGTGTTTGATTAACTGGAATGACTGGGCAACCCACTGCAATTTCCATGAAGTAGACAGGCTTGTCACATGGGTCTAATACAAATTATGCTACAATTATAATAATCCCTGTCAAAACAGGCCCTGGTCTTCTGATGTAAGATGGTGCTGTACCTAAGAAAAGAGGCAGTAAAATCTTCCAGCAAATAGAGATGATACAAGACTTTCTATCTGATATTTAGGTTTGTCTGCAAGAGTGTTAAGAACATAGTTATTTTTAAATAACCAGCTTTGGATTTAATTTTTCAGAGTTTACCCAGCACTTTAGCAAAGAATAGCATTAAATACTTCTCACAGAAAATCAATCCTTCCACTGGAAAATTAAGGGGCTGGGACAAAATTCTCCCAGCCCATTCTGTGACTCAACAGGACCCCCCATAGCAGAGTTGCTGAACCTTCCATCCCAGAAGCTGGAGTTGGTCCTCCTGGCTCTTGCAATCTTATCCTTTGGAAATGGAGTGTGTAGATAGATTGTGAGGCTCCCTTCTTCTGGGCCCCTCTAGTGCAGTTATAATCTGATGTCTTCAGTTCTCAACATTTGTGGTCACACAAAACGGGTAACGATTAGTGTAATTCCCAAATAGGATGCTTGCAAGTATGCATACCTAATCCAGGTCTTTCAGTCACTGGCGTGGGTCTCTGGTGAAAGGCCCCCCAAGCCAATTCTCTCTTTTGGCACCCACCTCTTAAAGTTAGATTTCACCCAAACCCTGGATCTAACCTGGAAAATTACCCTGGCCCCTGGGATGGAACCCTTTTGGCTTGTTGGAGTAATACACTTGTGGTTAATCAGTTCATTTCTTCTCTGAAAAGCCTGACAGGCCATCATGATGGTAATGCTCCAGTCTTGCTCACTCTCCATTTCTCAAACAAAATGCCATTGTTTGCTGGTGCCCTGTTCTCACTGTTTGGAAACGCACATGGTCTACTTTAACACAAGCTTATCCCAGAATTTCATTCCTAGCCACTAGAGTCCTGTGTATTATTATTATTATTATTATTATTTTATTTTTATTTTATTTCTTCTTCTTATTTTTTTTCTGAGAGTCTCGCTCTGTCGCCAGGCTGGAGTGCAGTGGTGCAATCTCAGCTCACTGCAACCTCTGCCTCCCGGGTTCAAGCGATTCTCCTGCCTCAGCCTCCCAAGTAGCTGGGACTACAGGCACGCGCCACCATGCCCAGCTAACTTTTGTGTTTTTTAGCAGAGACGGGGTTTCACCATGTTGGCCAGGCTGGCCTTGAACTCCCGACCTCAGGTGATCCACCCGCCTTGGCCTCCCAAAGTGCTGGGATTACAGGCGTGAGTCACTGCGACCAGCCTAAGGTCCCGTTTCTAAACCTAAAGAAGGCTTAGGATGCAACTTTCCGCCCCAGGGCAAGCTGGTTAACATTGCAACACTTTATCAGAAGTGTCTGTTAGTTTTTTGTTTGTTTTTTTGTTTTTAATATCAGACATGTACTTACTTGCTAAAGTTCTGTCAAGATCAGCAATGAAGTCTTCTAGCTCTTTTGTGTCTCCTAATTTGGCTGTGAAACGGTGGGGTGGGGGGAGAGAGAGAGTTCAGTTTCCATAACAAAGACAGCTGATGACTTCATATTGAGTTTTCCAGGATGTTGGAACGTCCAGGGTTATAGAATGGATTATTTCTATGTTACATCCACCTCCTTATCTTCAGAGACTTTATTGAAGAGTGTCCTGGGCCAATCCTAAGTGTGTGCTCCAGTGTTTTGATACAGTAAACTCAGAAACTGATTCTGAAGACTAGCCTCAGTGTTTCTTTGTTTTTTAGTTCATCACCACCCTCTCCAACCATCCCACCCCACTTCTCCATCACCTGGAAGAGGAATCTTCCTTCACTCTCTTAAATGTTTGCAGGAGAGTGAGGAGCAGGAAGGGAAGATAAAAAGAGTTTGGTTTTTGTATTGTGTAGAATATGAGTTATTAGTCAAAAAATTCAGTAAGCATAGCACTGTGCAGAGCGGACACCTAGATTGTGTCATTCCCGCGGCACTAGCCTTCTGATGCATTCATGCTTGTGCCGTCCCCCCAAGGCAACGCTGCAGCCCTCAGAGTCCCTCTAGTATGAAATGAACGAAGAGTTCACTGTTTCTTATCAAAATGGTACCGGGAAGGCACCATGAGGCTTCTGGTTCCAGCACAGCCTCATCCCCTCCAGGTGCCCACACAAGGTAACGAGTCCTCATTCTGATTTGGTTCTCTCTAGAGCCTGAGAGGTACAGATTTTTTTCATACAGCTGACTTTATTTCTGTAGAGTTCATCACATCATTCACGCCTTCCCTGAAATGCAGTACTGGATAGTTTTATTAATTAACACTGCTGGCTACAAATGGCTAATTGTTCTTAGCTTTTTAAGTCAATTTGCCACTAGGGGCTTTCTTCCGCCTCTTTAATTCCTACCTCTTGAGGATCAGGTAACAAATCTGAGCATGTTTTAAGCCACTTTCTAGACTGCTCTGTCTCTGAATTCAACAGATCCATTACAGACTGAGAGCTGGATAGTGGCAGAATTCCCAGTGGGTGCTAACGTTGCTATGTTGAGAAGGGAATTTTAAAATGCCTCTTTTGAAAAAAGAGCGAAGTCCTGTCTTATTGCCAAAGTGAAAAGAGTGATGGAATTGTCATTTCTTTTTAACTATGTTCCATTTTTATTGCATTCTGCAACTATTTTCAGCAAGTATAACTTTTCTTAAGGAAAAAAACTCCTTTTGTTTTCAAAAAGGCACTTGTCCAATGTAATAGAACATTCAGCTCTCTGGCTGGAGACGTTTTACCATTTCCAAAAAATAAGAAACTGCTCATGCATCTTTAAAGACATTTTAGGTCTATTAATACCACAGTAGACACAGGCTGGAGCTGCTATTTTAAATCATGTTACACCATAGCTTATCTCATAATGACAACTCCATTGAATTGCTAAATTGGTCATCTGAAACCATTGGTTAAATAATTAATGCAATAAAAAGAATCCTACTATCTGCAAAGGCAAACTGCTGAGTTTTAAATTCTAGAACCAGCAAGTCTGGGAGGCGACTCCTAAGAAACACTGTCATTTGCACAGTCTTGATTACATCACATGAGAGAGAACAGTCTAGTCTCCAAGTTTTCTTTCTCCCTGTGACTTCAGGTTTTCTGCCCCAAATTATCTGATTTCACGTTCACACTGATTAAAATCCTGAGAAATAAAAAAATTCCACTTTATACTCTACAGTATTAAGACATTAGTCTTACCTATCTGTTTTGCACATTTGAGAAAGATCGTTTAGGGATAAAAGGGACAGAGAAGGGATGGAGAAGGGGAGAGGAATAAAAAAGCAAAAAACTCCAATTCCAACTAATGACCTTACCTTTCTGAGGAGTGACAGCAGGAGAGAGAAGAGCTGGGGTAGAGTCTGTTGGGGAATTCAGTTTTTCATCACTGAAGCTGAAGCTGTTCCTATAAAGTGAATCTGCACCTTTCAGGAAGGAAAATATACTCATTAGAAATAGTACTCATGAGACTATAGACTTATCACTTTATAGTCTATTGATAACCAACAATTTGTCTTCAAAATAAGCCAAAACTGCAAATCTATAGTAAAGAAAACAGCCAGGCGTGATGGCTCCCGACTGTAATCTCAACACTTTGGAAGACTGAAGCAGGTGGATCGCCAGAGATCAGGAGTTCAAGACCAGCCTGGCCAACATGGTGAAACCCCTCTCTACTAAAAATACAAAACTCAGCCAGGCATGGAGGTGTGCGCCTGCAGCCCCAGCTACTCAGGAGGTTCAGACAGGAGACTCGCTTGAACCCGGAAGGTGGAGGTAAGATCACCACCGCACTCCAGCCTGGGCGACAGAGTGAGACTCTGTCTCAAAAAAAAAAAAGAAAAAAAGAAAAGAAAACAGGTTGATTTCCAGGTTTTATGTTTATGCCCCCAAAATGATTCGAGACAGGGGAATGTGTTTGTGTGTGTGTGAGAGTGTGTGTGTGTGAAAGTATGCGTGTAAGTGTGCATGAAAGAGTCTGTGTGAGTGAGGGTGTATGAGAGAGTCTGTGTGAGACAGTGTGTGAGAGAGTGTGAGAGTGTGAGTGTGAGAGTGTGTGAGTGTATGTCTGTGAGTATGCGTGAGTGTGTGTGTGCATGAGAGTGAGTGTAAGTGTGCGAGAGCGTGTGAGAGTGTGTGTGAGTGTATGAGTGTGAAAGTGTGTGTGTGTGTGCGCGCACATGCATGAGTGTGTGAGAGTGTGTGCGTGTGAGAGTGTGTGAGAGTGTGTGAGAGTGTGAGTGTGTGTATGAGAGTGTGTGTGTCCAATCAAGTACACCAAAGGCCCTTGCTTCCCTAATACAGGAAGGGGGTGATAGGATCATCATGACCAGTGCTTGGTTGATGGTGGGGGTGAGGGGGTAAGGATTTTAGGCAAAAGGAATCATCTCATGTGAAATATGTCCCTTCTGCCCTCTGAGCCTCCTAAAATACAAACATCCGGTATCCCATGACTTAATCCTCTTTCCCTGCTCAAGAGAGATCTTTGCTGTCTTGCTATCCTATAATTTAATAATCCTCTCTTTTACTTAAGAGGTTTTCCTAACAGTCTGTACTCTTCAGATAAGCCAGAAGGTCAAAGATGAAGACATCTCCTGGAAGTTCATCTATTAGACACTTGGAGTGACGTCATGGCTCCCTCTATGCTCCTACCTTCAAAGACTTGAACGACAGCAAGATGAGGCCCCAGAAGTTCAAGGCTGAGCTGGGAGTCAAGGGCACCATCCAGTCAACTACTAAGTACTAGGGTGCCTTTGAACAAGATGGTATCTCTGGGCCTAGCTTACTTATCAACAGAAAGGGAAGGTGGACTAAATAATCCTTAAAGGCACTTCTAGCTCTGAGATTCTCTAAGTCCTGCTACGGGGAAGGAAACCAACCCACAGTTGGCCCAGCTGTGTGGCTGTGACTCAGAAAGGGGCTGCTGGCTGAGCAGCACTGACTCAAAGGGTGCAAAGGCAAGGCAGGCAGCAGAGGCAGGATGTGGCCCCTGAGGTCATGGGGAACAGCCTTCCTGGTTAAAACAAAACACAAAGCCAGCCGCAGTTGGAGCAGAGAAGTGGCTCTTCAGGTGTGAGAGGGCAGGGGAATGATGGGGGCCTGACCAGGTCCCCGCTTCCTCGGGATTCTTCCACTTTAAGCCAATTACCTCCAGCTCAGGAGGAGGCAAAAACATCTCTCTTTGGTCCCGTTAACTGAAAAGAAATTTGCTTAAGTGACAGGGTTTTTGGAAGAAGAGGTTTCTGGTCTCAGGGAAATTCAGCTTTGTCCCTAAGAGGCTGCCACAGCTTCTCAGGTGCCTCTCCTGGCTCCCTTTCCCCCAACCCTCTCCTGCCCAGGGGCCCACCTGCCCCTGCTCTTTTTGCGCTGACACTGCCATCTTGTCCACGTTTCCAAACATGCCCAGAAGACCCTTGAGAGCAACCCTCACAATGTTTGCTTCCTTCAGAGGTCCAGCCCAGCTCACCTGAAACCAGCACCATCACTGGGCTTTGAGGATGAACATGGACTGAGATCCAAAACCCTGGACCCTGATATCTACATTTCCCCAAAAACACATTCCTCAGAATGCTGATCCTCCAAGGGCTGTGTGGTCAAGTACCCCCGAGAAACACCAACCAGCCTTGGTCATTCCCATGGGTACGCCCACTTCCAACATCCTGAAAAGACTTGTGGTTAAACAAAACCAGCCCCATTTCCCCAGTGTACCTGACCACGGGACACTTTTTTGTGGTGTTCCTGCTACTACTTCTTAGGACCCTTAGACTCTGTGGAACCTTTCTCGGGAAGTCCTCCTGTTGCCTCCCTCAAACAAACCCACCTCCAAAGGAGCTCTCCAGTTCTCCCAAGGGAGGGCCTTTCCCCGACACACAGGAAGCTGGCCACACCCACTGCAGACCTGCAAGGGAGCCTTACTGTTCTCACCATGCAGTCACAGGAGAATTGCCACAAATGCAGACTGAGAAACTCATGGGGAGAAGATGAGGCAAGATTTAGGGGCGAGAAAACCACAGAGGGTCCTGAGGAGGCAGACCTCATGCTTAGACTCCAAGCCAGAAAATACGAGGCCCTTGGCACGTTATCTGTGGCTCTGAAGGATACCTGAGAGCTTCACCCCCATCCCTGGCCCAGAGACTGGCTGGCCCAGATGGCAGGGACCACACCTCCACTCTCTATCTCCCACAAGCAGCTGGCCTAGGAGAGCAACTTTCCACACGCCACCGCTCACTCCACCCACCCGGCGTGCACCACAGGCCCTTCCCTGACTTTGAACTTCAGCTCTCTTCTGCCCCAACTCTCCAGCAAGTTTCCATCCACGTACACTCCTCTGCAGGGGGAGAAAGACACCACAATTTGTTCACCTCACAGGCGAGGAGGCCAAACACTGTTGAATGGTGGGAGAAGGAACAATCTAGATATGGAGAGGCCATTCCAAAAGAGGATGGTAGCAGGGGAAAAAAGGAATCCAGCAAAGATTCGGGAAAAACTCAGCATAACTCATGGGGCCTGGAGAGAATCTGTAGAGAATGAGCCGTAGATCCGGAATATTGCCAGGGCTGTCCTCTGATCCTTTAGGTTCACAGGCTAAATGCCTTCTTGACGTGAGCGTTTTTCCCAGACTGAGAATATATACAGACAAAACTGACAGCCACTCCCACAGTGAGGGAGGAAGAGGGGGAAAAGTACTAGTTACAATATCTATTTATATAGAAACACAGGCACACGGAGGCATGGATGGCAGCATAGCTACGCTCACTTCCTCCTGCCCGCCCCCGCCCTGCCCACACCCCCCCCCACCCCGCCGACACACACACACACACATTAGCTCACGCCCCGGCTCATTGCCACACCATGACTTCACTCCCTTTCCATGAGGTGTACAATCTGGAGCAGACCCAACTCCAAGTTCTGAAATGTTCAACCTTCAACCATCAAGAGGAAGCCGACCGCCAGCATCCTTGAGCCATACCTGCTGCAGCTGAGGCGCACCCTGTGATGATATCTACACGTCATGTATGGCACAGAAAATAAGAGAGCCCTCAAGGCCCCAAAGCTACACCACTGGCGAGTGGGCATCCAGCGTCTATGCCACTGTCGCGTGGGTGTCTAGAGGCCACATGAAAGCTGCATGACCCTGTACGAGTCACTCCGTTTCTTCCTTGTTAGAAGAAGAATAACCTAATAATCTGTGTATAATGCCTGCGGTTTTAATGATTTAATTCTAAAGTTCCTAGCAAAGTGAAGAATAGCACTCCTGAGATAGAAAAGGTAATCGCAGAGAATAAACAGAATCAAGATTCTCCCTCTTCTTGAGAGAGAGCAGTAAAATTCTTAAGAGAACTTTCTCTTCGGTGGCATCCTAGAACAAACCTCCCAAGAACAAACCCTCAACATAGAGGTACCCCAAGCTCTAGACTTCTCTTTACCCTTAACCAATAAAATTTCTTTCCACAGAGTTTTATTAAGAACATACAATGGGCAAAAATCTCACGCAAGGCGCCTAGACAGATTTCAAGGTAAGCAAGGCCTGACATCGCGTTCTTTTCCCTCCCCTGGAACTCTATTCCTTGCAAAAATAATAGCCAGTTAGTCTGATTAAATGACAGCAATGTGTTGCTGGCTGATCACATATTCATGTATCACTGCCCCGCGTGGGTATCAGGTGCTGCTATTAATAGAGGCTTGAGAGACCTAGAACAGTGATGATTTGGGGAACCCTGGCAGGTGGTAAGGGTGGATATTTGAGGGCCTTACAACATTGGTTTCAATCCGCTCTGAAGCACCATCTCACGTGCATCTCAAATTCCCATTAGAAACATCCCTGGCAAATCCACTCAGTGTACTGAAGCCAGGAACCTGAAATTCTGGGACCACGTTTTCTAAGGCACCATCAAAAGAAAGAAAAGCATATGAAATATACAACTAACAGAGTTGGAGAAACTCTGCTGCAAAATAGAGGCTTGTTTAAAAGGTAGGTGTGTGTTTTTAGCTTGGGGGGTTGGGAGAAAGGTAACTTAGGGTTAGCGCATGTCAACGTGCTGCTCCAGAGGGAAGTAACACCACAGACAGTAAACCTTGCCCAAGGCTCCTGTAAATATAGAACGATCCCACACTCCCACACGTTTAAAGCAAGCAAACTATAGTAATTCACTGAGAAAAAGCAAGCTTTGGACCTGCCTCCCTTTTGCCACAGGGAATGGCTGGGGGTGTGGGTTGAATTCTCCTCCCGAAAATCGAAATTCTGATAGCCTCGCCAAAGTGGGGCAAAATAAGGAAGAGCCTCTTTCCTCAGCTACTCCACCGTTGTCCCAGCTCCCTTTCTGGGACCGTGCCATCCCTCTATATGCCTTGCCAAGCATCACAAGACCTGTCACCCATGTGGAATTGCTAACAGAGTACTAGGGAACCCTGAAAGCTCCTCACTGGCCTTATTCTCTCATGGCTTGAACAAGTTCAGGTTCTAGCCTCAGTGACTTCTAAGCCACATAAGCCAACTGTCATGCTGGTTCTCCAGGGCCCACAAGGTCCCCTCTCCCAGGGCCAGGCCAGAATAGTCTAGGCAAAGATATGCAGGTGTTCTAAGTCTTGCTGATGCTAAGGAAGCCAGTTCCTCATTCCCTAAATGGTCCTACAATATCATAATAACCCTAGCATACACAGTAGACTTCAGACCTTTTTTATTGAGCAGCAAAACACTTCCCCCTTCAAAGGAAAAATTACGTGAAACCCCAATACATTAAAGATGTAAGTGCATACCACCTTTTAAAGTTTAAGTTAATATCATAAATGTCTTATAAAGTCAACACACTGGTTAAAACTTGAAACATAATGAGTTAAAATTTCATTTAACACGAGAAATCATGGTGTACCTTTTACAGTCTTAAAAATACTGAAAAGAAGATATATTTCTAAAAATAAATTCAAACCAAAGGTAGTCAATTTCTAAAGCACCTCTGAGGATGAGGTTTGAGAAACACTACCCTAACTCTTAATTGCATTACCCTTTCACTGCTGAAGTTAAAATTACTCCCACTAAAGCGCCTGATTTTTTTACATGTTGGAATCAAGTCTAAAGGAAAGTAACAACTTGATTTTGATCAACTACATTTGAATTCCACACACCCCCCACCCATGTGAAGTTATACTGTAATTGTTATTTTGGTCCTCTTCACGTCTTAAGAGGCCTCCCTCAAAGTGGGAATGGGAAGGAGTATTTCCTTATTAAATATCTGTTCTTCTTTCCTATCTGAGTAACTTGTTTCTTTCGGTAGAGGGAATGGCTATTTTTTGCCTTTGGGTGCAAGCAACCTAAATTTTTTTTTTTTTAATGAGAAGGAAGAAGTATTCTTCAAAGAACACGATTACTGTTTGATCTTCCTTGTAAGGCTGGTGCACCTTCAGACAGAGCTGTAAAAACTAGAGCAAAAAAACAGAGGTAACATTGGTTTACAGCTTCATCCAAAATATTTTCATGCGAGACACTGGCTCCAATGTATCTATGTGGTATAGCACAGCATGTACATTGTAATGATATTTTGAAAGCATTCAACAGAGCAAATATTTTCTACCTAATAGCACTATTAAATAGCATCCTTTCAATTTCACAGCTGGAGAAACTAAATCCCACTCATCATCCAGGGTTTTGACAAGGCTCAAACTGGGCTCCACTCACCCTGCCAGATGACCACCGCCTCAGAGAGACACCTTCACAAACAGCCATCATTGACAAACAGGCATGTGATCTGGGCTCAAAAGGACTTCAGTCTATTCGTGAAGACATGGTTCCCATTCTAGCTAATAAATCATCATCATCCTCATAGCAAGGATTTGCTAAAAGTGACCTGCTGTTATTATCATTATTCTGGTTTGTCTCCCTCTTCATGAGCTAAATTTCAGTAGTATCTACCTCTCTTAAGCATTCTCTCCCACAGAAAATCATTAAACAGACAAACGAGTGTAACAAATGTCTGTGCTCAATTCTTGGCAGCAATTAAGATACACGTATTATGCTTCCTTAAGAAATTATCATTTAGATACACACAGCTTCTGCCAACAATATTTCTAACCAGCCTTGTGAGAGAAAAACTACACATTTAAAGCAAAGACAAATGTCATCTGAGCTTGCTTTATATTCTTCTCATCACTTCTCTAACCACCAAACTACGGGTTAGTCAGTTAACAACAAAAGCAGAAAACAAACATATAACCTAAGTAAAACTACAAACTATCCCAACTATCTCCCCTGCAACTGTTAAGAATGTGTTTCTATGCCTTCTCTTTAAGGCATCTGAAAACAGATCCTAGATCTGAAATCCCACTCAGTGGAAGCTGCAATCAGCCATGAATGGGCACTCTTAGACCTATTCTAGCGGAGTGAAGCTGTTGCTTAGAAAGGAGCTGTTCTTTGCCACAGAGCTGCAGTGACACACTGTCCCAGCTTTCTTTTCCATGGGAGAATCTGTATTTGATGAATAACTTGCTCCATGCCCCAGTAAAAGGAGACATATTTAAGTTTGGCCTTAGGAATTGAGACAAATTTCCAGAATGTAAACACTTCGCTTTGAAACTAAAAATGAACCTGTTCATTAGGAACACAGTCCAAAAATTCTAAGTGGAAAAGTAACAGTACTTTCTTCCATCCCCTTTCACCTCAAAAGCTGCAACTTGGTCTAACTCTCTGGCAATGCTGCCAAGGAAACTCAAGCTGGAACTCAGCTTTCTGAGTCAAACCCTGACCAGGGTGGTGAGCGCATTTATCCCTTTGCAGAAGAGCAGCTCACATTCAAGTCTAGCCCCGAATCTTAGCCCAGGAACAAGGAAGAGTTCCAGGTTTCAAAATAAGAGAATCACAAGGAAAGGCCATCACTTTCACATCCTGAGTCAAGGGCAGCAAAAGGAGTGACATTCATGCCTGTAACCCATCTAGGGATTAAAGGTTGAAGAATAACACAGAAGAGTTTAAAATTGACTTTGCACTTTGAAAAACAATAAGTAATTCTGGATTTGAAACCAACAATCATATAATACTAAAAAGGCACCTAATTTGCTGTTTGAATCCTCCCAGGACATGTGAGCTCCTGGGAAAAGCTGTCTGTTGTTGTTGTTGTTGTTTTGTTGTTGATAAAGTTGTTCAGGACAAAGAGACGCTGGGGTAGTCTCCATTGTGAGAAAGGTCACCAGGAAGCACCTTCATGCCCATATGCTCTCTGGCTCCCCCTCCAGCCTGGTGGAGGACCTGGCTGAAAAATACTTGAACTCAGCAGTGCCAAAGATTTTCATAACTGCATGCAATGGAGCAACAAGTCTGAGCGCTCAGGGCCAGAAGAAAATGCAAACAGTTATTTCATAAATCCCAGGAACAGCCGTTTGGGCTTATGAAACCTTTCCTGGTTTCATGAATATTTCCGTTCAGCGCCCTCCCATGTCCCCACTGTGCCCCCTCATTCCACTGGCACCTATTCCACATCTGCAAAGTTACAGGGGAGAGGGGAGAGGCACGGGAAAGGAGAAGAGGAGGAAAACTGTGGAAAGGCCTGGTGCAGGTCCAGGGAGTCCTGTCTGGCTCAGTCGGGACAAGCTGCTTAAACTCGCCTGCCTGGTGACACACCTGTGGATGGCAGGTGGACCAACCTGCCCTCCAGCGACCCTTCCCGTGATTATCGTCAGGGGCCCCGCCACTGCTCGGCCTACTGCTTTGAGCTTCAGGACTAGGTTCCTGGACACCATTCCTCAGTTTACAGATAAGAAAACTGAGGCCGCAACCTTCGCGGGCCAGGTGTTGGGAACTGGGAGATCCCGGCGCCATCCTAGCGGGGGCCGCACTTACTCTCCGAGTCGCTGAAGCCGCTGCTGTCGCTGACGCTGGCGCTGCTGCGCCGCTTCATGCGCTCCAGGTGCTCCTCGTAGTGGAAGTGGCGCTCGTGGAAGGGCGACGCGAAGTCGGCCAGCACCGCGTCAAACTCACACAGCGCGTCCGACAGGTCCTCCGCGGCCGCCGAGTCCAGGGCCGGGGCTGCGGGCAGGGCCGGGGACTCAGTGCACGGAAGTCAGGGGGGCAGC